CTACTGTATTTTGTCAGGCAGGTCCTATTTAAGTGATTTCTTGATTGAGAACAGGTGTGGCAGTAATCAGGCCCGGGTGTGGCTAGAGAAATTGAACTCAGCTTTCCAAAGATGTGATAAACCACAGTTGATTTATGTTTTAACAGGGGGGGCAATCACTTTTTCACACAGGGCCATGTAGCTTTGGATTTTTTTTTCCCCTTAATAATAAAAACCTTCATTTAAAAACTGCATTTTGTGTTTACTTGTGTTATCTTTGTCTAATATTTCAATTTGTTTGATGATCTGAAACATTTCAGTGTGACAAACATGCAAAAAAATAAGAAATCAGGAAGGGGGCAAACACTTTTTCACACCGCTGTATGTTAAACTACTTTCATTACCCCCCCACACACACACACTTATGAGATGGGACTGTGATATGGGTTTGACTGATGAAAAATTAAGTTAATACATTTCCCTAGAGATGTTTTTTTTCCCTTTTACTGAGTTTGCAGCACATTTGACTGCAGAATAGAGTCAAACTGGCACTTTATTTTTTTACACACAATAGGGTTGTACTTGAAAAAGACGTCAGATGTGTGTGTGAATGGAGCATACATAAACAAATAGGATGCCAAAATAGATGGGTCATATGCTGGGGAAATTAGCAGGAAACAAGAAAACTGACCCAATATCTGTCAGTCTGAGAGCCGTAACAAGGTTAGGTATGAAATAACCCCTGGTGTACTCAACGTAGCTGCTATAAGAGGGATGGTAGGAAAGGACACTAAATCTACCCTTAACTTTCTAGGCACAATTTTTCACAAACATTGACAATATTATTACATGATGACCACTTCTCAGGTCTTTCTGATGTCGCCACTGCTACCCAGAGCTCTAGAGCAACCATGACTGCTTCCTGTGCATTCCTCCTCTTTCCACCCTCTTTATCTTTCTGCTCCCTTACCCTTCTACCACATTTCATTGTCCTGTGTCCAACCCCCTGCACAGTTGGCCCAGCACATCTCTGGCATTTTTGTTTTATCTCTTCCCCTTCTCCAATCCTTCCCAAATTGTCACTGTCCCCATAGGATCAATCCCACACCCCATAACTGATAGCCACTAATACTCAGTCTTCCTTGTGGGTGCAAGAACATGCTCTCAGTCTATGTCGCACCATAGCTTCACATTCCCCACCCCCCACCACTGGCGTCCAATTTGTGCAGTGACAGCCCCCAAATCTCCACACATGCTTCCATCTGCAGCCCCACCGAGACTCTCCCAAGCGTATCAGACTTCTACTTGCCCTCGAGGTTCTTTGCTTTAGTCACTCAAATTCGAAATTAGTCCTGCCTGGAATCTGTCCTCCTTTACTCGCAGGTATTTCAAGCTAAATTCTATAATTTGTCTTATGAATCTTTTATTTTGTCCTTCCTTCACTTTTCACTGGGAGTTGTTTCATTTGCTCACCGACAAGCATCAGCAAGTGGTTACTCTCTACCAGTTCCTGCAGCACATCTGCCAAGACAAGTTCAACACTGATGCTCTTTTTGAGTCAGCACAGTATCTCCTGTAGCCCATTTGTATAGTTTTAAAGATAATCTCCTCCATCAAACCCAGGATCTATGTACAATAAGTGCAGTAGATCTGAAGGCTTGCATACTGTATACCTGAACCTTGTGCACCTCAGACTCCATCATGGAAGAATTCTGCACTGGTGTCAAGGGGTTTCGTTTGGGGTTCTGTCAACATCCCTACACCCAGATGGATATCTAAATAAACTCCATCTAAATAAACTCCCAATACTTTTGGTCTCTAAGTCATATGAATTAGGATTGGACTGAACTACCGAAAGGTGATGTACAGCAGGCCCTGCATTTGTTTACATTAAACATTACAGTATATGCCTGGAGTTTGCCCCGTCTTGGGTTTTATTTAAATATTTTATATTATTTGCTGCTTCTACAGTTTTTGCCCATCTTCCTAATTTGGTATCATCTGCAAAACTGACTAGTTTACTAGCTATGCCAGAATCTAGATCATGGATAGGAATTATGAAGAACAGTATTCCTAGTACAAATCCCAGTGGAACTCCACAACGTACCCTAATGTGAGCATTCACCATTCTATTTAGTAAATTATTCTATATTCTCTTAAGGAGAATGGGAGTATGGAATGTGCTACACAGCCATGTTTTCTTTCATAAAATGGCCGCATGAGATCCTTTGACCAATTAACTACTAAATAATACAATTTACGAACAACGGCCTAAACTCAATTATAAACTTTATGTTCTGTTCAAAAACATGCTTTTCCCGAACTAATCCAAAAATATTACAAATCAAAGTTTTGAATATTATCTTACACACTCCGATTTTAAAGAAAAAACAACAAAGTGAGGGCCACTGGACTGTAGAACAAAAGACCCCACATTTGCCTTTAAGAAGATGACATATATTTACTGTAAGGCAACAGTGACAAGTGGCATTGAATATTATACTGAATGTGCTTCTGTATCAGATTTCTTTCTCCCTCATTAAATACATGGAAAATGAATTTCCATATTTCATAAAAATGTAGTACCCCTCTGTATAAGGATTTTTTTTGCATTTATGAATGCTGTAAATTAAATATTAAATCATACAGTATACTGATATGTTACAGAACTGATAATGTAACACAAGGTTCCTGTTTGCATCTTAAAGTTGATTCACTGCCCAGGAGTGTACTAGTGTTGGTCAACATTGAATTACAAAATCTCATTAACGATGCAAGGACATCTTTCCTGGATGACACTGTTTCAGTGTAAGAGCTATAAAAAATATTAACTGGGGTGAAACAACTCAAATTCCATCTTTCAGGATGACTGCTTTTCAATTAGGAGTACAGCAAGGAATTTTTGGTGGCAGTTGTGAGGTGCTTAAAAGGGATAAGAGTCTAATAACATAAATAATCTTGAAAGCCTACATTTCCCAATTGTAATGAGAGCATTAAAAGGAAATAAAGCTACAGAATGTATCAAATAAACATGGCTCTTCCTGACACAGGGAAAATACAGAAAGAAATGTTCGTGCCTGTCAATTTTTAACTTGCTTTTCTGTGTGCCTTTACTCTTTCAACAGAATGCCTGAATGCTTCGATCACAGCTTGAACAAACACTGAATGGCAGTCTCCCATTAATTTGAAACATATCTACAGCATTGACATTTTCTGTTGTCAATAGTATGATCAGAGCAGAGTGATTTCTGACCACACTTCAGACTGAAGTGTTTACCTCTCCTTGTTTTTTTTCTCTTCTTTTAAAACAAGTCTATCTTATGCAAGAGACCTTTCTCAATTTGTCTCAGATGACCCCTAGGCTTAAAAGAGTCTGACGTACCGTAGAATTTCCATTTCAACAGGTTGCACAGGTCACCAGGGTCCAGTCAAGTCAGAGTTTTCTATAGCTACACACTGCAGTTTGAAAAGACAGAGTTTCCATTCTATGTTTAAGTAATGCTTGTTTGTTTTCATTGGATGTCTGGGTATTTGTTTTGGCTTTTAAATATTTATTCTCTGCATACAGATAGTGTATACTATGGCCAAAACATGTTTTAACTGCTTATAAGGTGTTAAATAATTTGAAACAAATGGAAAATAAACACTTAAAAAATATTCCACTATTTTCCTTACTGTGTACTCTGATCATGCACTTTTCTTATGTCTCTAGACAGGAGGTTGAGATTTTTCCCAGTTAAGTTTAACCTCTCCTTTTGATTGACTGCTGTGCTGTTATTACAGCATTATATTGTATAATTATCTATGTTGTTATCGGTAACAGTGTTGCAGTTACAGTATATTCTAAGTTAAAATTGAAAAAGTGAAGGACTTCAAATCCAGGTTATAAAATTAACAGTGGTGTTAGATCTAGGAGCCACCTCAGCAAAATCTGCACTCCGATGTTACTATATAGTACCAAATGGCGGATTCAAGAACCTTGAATTGTGAGATTTAATTTATTGGTCTGGTAATTTACCGAGAATATCAAAGAAGACACTGGGCCGCATGCACTGGTCTGTAACATGGAGGTTTGTCTCACAGTTTATTAGGTAGTCAAACCCTCAGCACTGACATTTCAAACTTTGCATGACAGCACTCTAATTGGCATGAAAAACTAAATGAAAAACAGTTATGCCTAAATTTCAGTTCATTACTTAGCATAACTATAAATACTCATTAAAAGAGATAGGATTAGAAAGTACACATACTTTGAAATGACACAGACCCTGGTACTTGTTTAATTTTGTGAGAACATGGAGGGAAAAAGAGTTAAATATGTTTAATATCTTTTAACTACAGAAACAATATTTTAGAAGCAACACAGAAGCGCAACTTCAGTATAAACATATTTCTGGTAAATTAATAACACTTTTGTTATACACTTTGAAAAGAAATAAAAAATAAAGACTTCCAGAAGTATTAAAATACAACAAAAAAATGAAAAATAAGATTACTTTCGTTGTGGTTTTTAATTAATCTTCAAATTGACAAAATGATGCAAGATGAGATTGCACCTTGCAATGGCTACAATCAATATATATGCCCTCAGGCTGGTCAGCAAGCCAGAAATAAGCACAGTGGCTAAAGAATGCTTCAGATTTCCCTAGTGCCATCAAACCAGGACACAAATCTAATCAAGCACTGGAGCATCTTGCAGTAACACGGACCATTCGTATAGTATGTTGCTCCCCACCCTGAGAGAAAACTCTCCCCCACCCCCAATGACATGATGGCACCAGACTGTAATAAGACAACTTGGGAGTTTTTGTGTTTACTCAAGTGAAAGTGTTACAGCACACTTCACTACCACAAGCAAATGTGGGATTGTGGGAGGAAGCCACAATATAAAATTTCTTGTAGAACAATTATAACATAACATCACTTTATTAGCTCTATACAATTTCTTGCATCAGGAAATCATCTTTTCACATACCCTAGCTTGCGCTCTCCATGAAACACAGACGGGGAGAGAAGCTTGGGGTCAGAGCGCAGGGTCAGCCATTGTACAGCGCCCCTGGAGCAGTTGGGGTTAAGGGCCTTGCTCAGGGGCCCAACGGTGTAGAATTCCTCCGCTGGCTGCAAGATTTGAACCAGCAACATTCCAGTCACAGGCGCAGATCCTTAGCCACAGAGCCACCGCTCCACCCTGATTGTGGTTACCAGATAAAGGACAATCAACTTATTTTACTTAAATGAAATACTTGGCACAGAAAATTAAGGCTCTTTTCATGATTAGCAAATATATTTTTAGTAGCAACAGATATCTACTATTATGTAGTCTGATCATGTTATACATCCATGCAGTTCGAAGGCACCAACTTAGACTTGGTGCTGTAAGCACCTCAGCAGGTGCCTGTCTGCAGTTTCTAGGCTTGGCTTGGTTCTAGTTTTGCTTTCTTGTTGAATTCCTCCTCTGTCAGAGACCGCTTCTCCTCTTCGTCTTTCTCCAGGGTGTTTCCTTCCTCAGCAGCTGTTAAATCCCCAATTTCTTTCAGCTTCATCTCTTTCTCAAGTCTCTGTTTCTCTTCTTTCGCCAGGATCCTGTAGTTGTAGAAGTTCATAATGAAGAGGAAAATCCCAGAAAACAGCATTACGGCTCCACACACATAGTACATGTATTTGTAGTCCCCAAAAATATCCACCAGTGCACCTGAAAAATAAATAACAGAGACTCTCTAAATTATGCATTCTAGAATTCTGTATGACTTAAAAAACTATGAACCAACAAAGGAAAAAATACAGCCAAGGACACATTTGTTCCCTTGAGAAGAGATGATGGCAACTCCTTAGTTAAAGTGGATTCTTATGCAATTTTATAATTTAAAATGCGCATTCTTATACTCATAAAAGAAAAACATTTATTCCATTTGGAACAGCTATGGCTCCATTTACTTTTAAAACCACTTAGAAACAAGCAACATTTTCTCAAAACTCATTAAGAATTCTGGACTACTTATACATACATATTTTAAATAATATTGAATCAATCAATGGCTGAAATATTTCTGACAAACTCCTTGCACATGTACATTGTTGTGATAGTGAACAAAATAATTTGTATTCCTCTTCATTTTAGCATCATACTGCATAGGCATAATATGAAATCTTTTCAGATCATTGTAAAACACAAAAATGGGTATTTTTATGTTGTGCAACAACTCAAGTATATAAGCAAAAGTATTTGCTATTTCATGGTTTACCATTTTAGAAAATCCAATAGTAGGTACCTAGTATCCTCTACAGAATCTGAAGGGTAACTACTAAATTACCTTCCAAGTTCTGTAATCAAATGCTGATTTTACACTCATAAGTGAACAAAAATTGGATATATTGTACAAACACACCAGTAAGGAGTTTTAGATTGCTGATACATAACAAAACTGTTATTAATATCTGGTGTAGTATTTTCACTCTGGCGAAAAGCACTGCTGTACAGCATTTTTGATGCAATCTCTTCTACTATTCAAATTATGTTTGTGAAATCTGTTTATCACTGTCAAACTCACCAAACATAGGTGCAAAGCCATTAATATGGTACAAAGTTTCCAATTTCAAAAATAACAAAGGTAGTTTAAAATGGAGGAAGCACAAAGGTCAGTGTTGACTAGAACCTTGGGTTCAATTCCTGGGTTGCTATCTGTGTGGAGTATTTCCCCCCACCCTGTGTTTAAGTGGGTGGGTCCAAAGACATGCTGGTAGGTTAAATGACTTCTGGGAAAACTGGCCCTGGTGTAATGCGTACATATCTGTGTGTGCCATGGGATGGACTGGCATCCTGTCCAGGATGTATCCTGCCTTGTGCCCACTGCTTGCAGGGTTAGGCTTCAGCTCCTCTGCGACCTTGCATTGGGGATGTGTTTGGAAAATGGATTGGTTGCTTGAAATGAAATGACAGTGTTGAAAATGCAACTTTTCTAGAGATAATTTAGATCTCAGTTTGTAGCGCAACAAATACTGTCAACCCCCTCCCCAGAAGTACTAGCATAAGCATGTACAGTAATGCAGAAGGTTACCATCAGCAGTCCAGCTCAAGAGACTTTCCCTTCACACGTGTCAGAACTAAATTGGTAATGAAATTAAACATTTCTTTTCTCTGTAAGAATCTGTAAGAATCAACACCACTTCACGAATTTTCAAATGTTTCATTTTTCCATGCAGTCTTGCACCCTAGCATGATAATTATGAATAAGTGTTATTATTAGGTAATGTTTTTTTTTTATCCCTAATGCTAATAAAGAAGTAGAGTTCTGCCTACTGTATATCATTATAGATCGTCAGCCCACAGTACCAGCACTCTCCAAACATCTGCTCTACAGTGCTGTACATTTTCAACCAGGTGCATGCTACGCTAAAGGGCTAATAAATCACTACAAGCAGGTTGCTTGGTTTTCTAACTCCTTGAACAAGCATGTGACATGAAAACAGATTTACTAATGAAGAAACTGCACAGCAATTCTGCTGATAACAAGGCAAAATCAAATTTAGAAGGTAAAATATGCTAAATTTGGACTTTGCAGAAGTTATTTGCCTCTTATACTCTAACAAATTACATGACAAGTTCACTCCTGGTATAAAATTGAGCACAATCTAAAAAAGCAACAAATACATGTATCACATTTCTGGTTCAAGCATTCAAAACTCATACGCGTCACATAAGGAAATTGAATTGAAGCCCACAAGAAGCACAGTCAGTCTGTCATCTGCTCTCTTATAAAATGTTCATAAAACAAATCTGAAAATAGAGATAGTTTCCAAACATAGATATGAATTTAGATAATTTGATTTAAACTCAACAGAATGCTTCACTCATATGTGGGAATTTGACATGTGATTTTATTTGGAAAGAAAATAGTTCTGAAACAAAAGTTATAAAAATAGAAAAAAAAGTTATGTTGCAAGCTGAAGGGCATAGAAATAAAAACACATAGTATAAAAAAATAATATAAAATGTTATTGTTTTCTTGTACTATTAATTTAGTTGCTAGGGATTTGGGTAACTATAACACAGCAAGGCAAATCATTAGGGGGTAACAAAGTATGAATGGAATTCTATATAAATAAACCAAGAAGAGTAGAGAATTTAATAAGTGGCAAGGGTACTGAACATAATAAATAGCTTTCTATCTACATATGGTTTGTGAAATTAAAGAGCTCTTTGGTACGCAAAACTCATTTTTTTCAAAATTCTTTACTTACAATTTCTAATTATTTATGTATTAATAATTGAAGTAAACAATTGCTATAAAAGCTATTGGCCATGCATAGAAAAAAGTATATGGTCATGAGGCTGGGGTATGTTTTATTATTCACTGTTTGCAATATTTTTTGACATTACGCTTCTAGGATGAAACACTTTGGAAGTCAGTCTAAAGCAGTGCTGGAGCATCAGCTTATTGATCTGGTACAGCCTGGTCTGAAGATTTCTTGTACATGAGTTGCTTTATTCTAACATTAAATTATTAAAGCAGAAACCTGGAAAGAAGAACATTTAGCTTTTTTTTTAACTAATTTTCTAATACCATTCTTCCGGACAAATATGAATCAATGAATTGATATAATTAAACCAATCTTAGAAAATAAGCCTTCAGCATGTCGTTTACAAACTGTCAATCCTGGCAAGACAGAGATCACAGGCTAGGTTATGGGTTAGGTAAACTAATTACAAATTGGGAGCTTAATGAGTTTTTCTGAAAAATACAAAAGGTTTGGGAGTTAAAAATGCTCTCTGTTTGCAACACTCCCGGCTTGAAGGCCAGCTTTTGATTAATCATATTTGTCGTTTGTGTTAACTGGAGAATATAATTGTCATTAAAATAGCCCTTGATTGGGGCAGTAATTATGCCCATCTGGTAGCACCACTGCTTTTTAATGTATTCACAGCTTAATAATCATGCAGGTAAGGGCCTTTAATGAATTTCATTCAGACTTCACTCATTAAACACCAAGCAAAGGCTAATTACAGCAATTTTCTCACTTCCCGCTAATTAGGATGACCTAAAGGTTTACCGATTGTACGACTATAGAGCTTGTAACGAGTAGACTTGTAAGGGTAAATGTAATGCTTCTGCCCTCCTGAGAATAACGCATGATAATGCAACATGTAGGGAAGAATTTATTTACTCCATTAAATGAGAACCTTGAAATAGGTCAGAGAAAAGAGCAAGACAGCCTATAAATTTATCCCTCATTAAAAAGAGGAGGAACAAGATAAACAAGAAATCTGTTTTATACTGGATTCCTCACAGACACACCACTTTGGTCTAAAGACAAACAGTTATGGTTCCGGTTCTTACAAGTCAAGGATTTGGGTCTCCTTGTGTGATATTGCTCATGCTTTTAGTGCTCTACAACAGTAATGGCTTTTGAGTTAAAAAAAAAACATTTATATTCTAGTCCACAACAGGTAGTTCAAACTTTCCTTTCTTGGATGTTTTACATATCTCTTTCCATTGAGGACATTCAGCTAGATGGGCTGAAACCTCCAGATTTCAGCCTTTCCAATGTTCCCATTTCACCTCAAGACTCTTCCTACAGGTACCCTATTGATCTGGTCATATTGCCTTGGTCCCTTTAATAATTAAAAATCACTTAAATAATTACTGTATTTGTTGGAAGAAAGTGCCATAGGCACAAAATAAAAGAGTCACGTTCGCAGAAATTGGAATTGACATGGGTTGTGCTTTTTTTTAGTTATTTGTTTTACCTTTTGTGTTGTTCCTTTTACCACATGCAGAATTTCTTTTAAAAAATCCTTGCAAAACCCAGCAGTGGAGAGATGGAAGGAAAACTGTTGACCCAATTACAACAGGGAGTTGATAAGATCAAAATTTGTCTGGGAAAATACAATCTTGAGGCAAAATGCTGTGGTTTCAATTGTTGCATACTCATTTTCAGGTCTAAAATAAAATCCACTACTTTCAATTTTCAGGCATCACAAATCGGGTAAACTGATCCTATCTGTGGTAACATAAGTAATGTCTGAACGCTCTGAACATTCCTGTGAGGCTACTCCTAGTTGTAACATCTGCTAAGGCTGCTAGCACCAACAGCAAAGCCAAAAATTATAATTGTTTAATTGTGCAATTATAGCCTTAATAAGTAAAGATTCATATTGTTGGCTCCTGTTTGAAGGAATTTACAAAGCCTGAGGAATTAGGGCTCTCTAGTACCAGGAATGCAGACCACTGAGAAAACAATTATTTATTTAGCATTTAATTCAAATGGGCCTTTACTGAAACACAGACTTTGACATGCTCATTTGCAACAACAGATCTTACAAACTATTAGATTATCTGAGTTGTCCCATACATAATACTAAAGATACTGCTGAAGGTCACGGTTTGGATATTTTAAATATGACCACTCATATATATATATTTTTTAAAAAACAAAACAGTAGAAATTATTTTTCTGTGGACTATGCATTGTACAAACCACATTAAAAGGGGGGAAAAATCCAGTACAAAATGGATAAATCATGCAGAACTATTATCTCACTGTAACATATCACATTCATGTTCCTGTGAACTGTCTTGAAGGCATTCAGCCCTTTACTTATACACAAAATTACCAGGTGCCCTGCAATGCCAACCAGTAATTTGCATGAAAAGCACACAATTAAAAAACAAAGCATTCTAGCAAGATAAATGTTATATTAAATGAGTTCCCTGAGTTACACCAGGAAACTCCAAAAGTACAAATTCAAAGGGTAAACTACAGTAGAAGAGTTCCTCCCAATGCTTTATCATGCCTTAGTAGAGACTATAGTATGTATTCAGGTCTAAGCATCATGCTTGTGAACCCAGGCAGAAAACATATAGTTCAGAGACCTTCGTACCACTTATGAGTTCTTAGCTCCTAAAATGTTCCATAATATGAGAAGAGGATGAATTCTCCAGCGACTGTTCAGCAAAACTACAAGCTCCTAGTTCACAACAGAATAGTAAATAAGCGTGACCAATTATAGGTTCTCTCTTGGCGCGGACTGAAAGCAAAGCCATTCACCAATGATAATCCTATTTTATCAGAATGTATTATAAACTGCAACTGGGACGTTGTTTTAATTCGTTCTGTGCCTTGCTGCTCTACAAAAACTGCATGGGGTTTAGTTCATGGTTTTAATAAATCATGGTCTTTTAATAGCCTTGAGTGAAAAGAAAAACTACATTGCTTTAATACAGTACATTTTATGAAGAAATTCCAGCTATTGCGTTAGGCTTATTATTTACTTCAAAGGGCTTTTAAAAGATTATTGGCAAAAACAAATTAACAATCCACTCAAGGAAAGACAGACAGCGCAGCAGAATGTTTACTTACCTCCAATCGGTGGCCCTAGCAGGACCGGACAGCATTCGATAATGGTCACAAGTCCGACTGCACTTGAAAAGCGCTGTGCTCCAACCAGGTCCATCAGTGTTTCGAAAAGCAAGGCACAGACCATACCAAATGCCAAGCCAAAGAACACCGCATACACAACTAGTCCAGAGTACCCTGTGGCCAATGGGCACATGAGGTGACAGACGCCATTGTATGCTACTGAAAAGCTGAAGAAATACTGAATATTGGGTCTTATCCATTTAGTGTTTGCTATCAAGCCTGTCCCAGGCCTGGCAATCATGTCCACAATGGCCAGGATAGACAGCAGGAAAGCGGCAGAGTATTCATCAATACCCAGATGCTTGGCATAGGGTGCTAAAAACACAATGGGGGCAAAGAAGCCAAAAAACATGATGACGTTTCCTACGAGGTAGATTATAAAGCCTCTGTGCTTAAATAGTGACAGATCTATGAATTTATTGACCTTGTCCAGGCATCTGTTCTTGTCTTGCTGATTCTTTCCAATTATTAAGCTGACGGCATGTGGGTTGATCATTTCAGCTGAACAGTCATTATCGCATTTTTCACTCTTAGTTCCACCAGGCATCTGAATTTGTTTTTGCTCAGGCTTTGTAGGTGGGACTCCGATAGGCCGAAATAGAGCTCCAGCGACGCAGCAGTTCAACAGCAACGCTCCCAGTATGAAGAAACTTCCGCGCCAGCCAAAATTATCAAACAGGAATTGATTGAGGGGGGCCAGGGTAGAGAGAAAAACTGGACTTCCTGCCATAGCAAGGCCATTAGCAATTGGTCTTCTTTTCAAAAAGTATTTTCCAATTATTGTCAGAGATGGTTGAAGATTGAAGGCGAGGCCAAGACCTGCAGAAAAGATAGAACTATTAGATCGGTTACAGTATATTTGTCACACTCAAGGTATATAATAAAAAACAAAATGTAAACGTATAACTTCCCTTTGTCATTACAAATACTGTGCAAAGATCCTATGTCATTTCAGTTGCTGGCTAAATCTTTTTAATAGAACTGGAAAATTGAAAAAAGGGATTTCTCTATTTAACTGATAAGCAATTAAGACTTCTAAGTCATCACTTCATTATTTCTTTCTACCACATAGCCAATTTAATACTTTCTTATTTCCTTAATTAGCATTTTCACTGCAAGGCAAATACCTTTTCTGGTAAAGCAGACTCACATATTAAGCCTTTTATAGGTGTCTGAAATATCTGGAGCACCATGAACCTGTCCTGTAACCATTTCCAGATTACACTAACATTTACTTAAAAAAAGGGTAATGTCACAAAATTAAAATACGTACATTGCAAAATTATATTGGATGATACACCAGTATACTGTCAAATTAAAAAACAATCAACAGCATTTATGTTTTTAAGACCTAAGAAGAAAGTTAAACTTTAAAGTTAGCCTACTGAACCAAGTAGCCTAAAATATAATTTGGGTAATTTAGAAGAAAACTTCTTTTAAGGGCAAGGGTAAATAATACATTGGATGAAATACAGCATGCCAGTATCACCAGGCTGTAAGTTCTGAGCGGTGGGTTGTAAAGAAAAGAAAAAAGGATCAATACTTAGTTTTTCTAAGATTTTGGAAGCCTTCACAACTGGAGCTGTGACAGATCAGAGCACAACAGTAGTCCAAAGAGCAATTTAGGATGTATGACAGAGTTCACATGCCCTTGGACCTACGCCATTCAACTGATTGACAGCACACAGCTGTTGCTTTTTGATCTGTCCCTGTGGAATTCCATTCATAATGTAGTTGTGTCCTCTTTAAAGTCTGGAACAGACACTTCACCACAGAATTGACTAGTGCATGGGAGCTTGGGAGATCCGAATGTATGACTGTTGGAAAGAGTTTGTGTAAGTCCCACAAACTTCCACTTTTACTTTGGAGTGCTGACCACTGGACCATTTCTGCTACAGCTTTCTCAACCAATTAATTCTTCACACATTTCTTTCATTGGATAATTAGTCTTGCAGGTTGTTCCCTCTGGGCTTTCTACCAAGAGACGAACCCTGTCATGCCATGTCTTCGGAGGCAAGCAGAATAGCCCAGTAGGTTAATTACACTCAGGCTTGAGCCCTGAGCAACAAAGGCTCTGTCGTTTCGTCAGAGGGTCACTCTGTGGATTGCCACTGCTCAAGAAAAAAAATATATCCCCGAAGAGCAGCAGAGCAGCAAACAATAGAAACTATCAGGCTTGGGCTGCTCTTCCTGCTATTCTGGATCCCTGTGCCAACATGGATGTGCAGGAGCTGTGTTCTTGTTCGTTGACCCCCTGACTCTCAGAAGCACTCTGCTCAGGGACACAGTAAATAACTCCCCTCAGAGGTGGATGCCTGGACAGGATCCAATTACTGCTTGAACTTTACCCCTCACCGCCACCCCTTTCAACATGCAGTTTCTTTAAACAACCCATTTTAACACAGACCATCTCCAAAAGAACCTGTATAAACTAGGCAGTAGTGGAGGAAAAAAAAACAAAGAGAAAAGTTCAGATAATAATCGATAAAAGGAATCCTAAAGACATCTGCTGCAGAAATCTTAAAATGAATACTTATATAATTTCAGAAAAAAATACATCTTTTTATTTCTTTCTATTTCAGGCATCTGAATACCACAGATAAAAACACAGAGGAAAAGTAATTTTGATAGTATTAGAATTTAGTACTACATACAGTATGTAAAACGCCCCAGATGGAAAAGAGAAGCTTTCACTCAGCTGCAGGTCTGGCCCAGGTTACATTTCCAACTTTCCCTTTCAGTGTCTGAAACATGCTCCTTTCTTGCCCCCACTGTTTTCAGTTAAACTGTCACTCCACCTCCAGCTGTGATTACAGCTGCAACATATTGCAGTATTTATTCTAATAATATTCACAGTTGTTCATGAACACTTACTAGTCTTCTCACAACACCCATCATGCTATCTCTCTGCATCTACTTTTGACCTGAACATTTTTTTTTATATATATATATAAAATATATATCGACAGACAGATTACATACCAATACATTCAAAATTAAGAGCAACGGCGAGACCCTGGATTGGTGACTGTGATGTTGTTTTTGCTTTTCCAGTATTAATTAACGGAGTGCAGGGCACAGGCCTACACACCAACATATTTTACAACATAAGGATGCAGTGACACAAGGTCTTTCGCTACAGGAAAAGCAATAAGACCTATGATAATATTTCAAGCAGCCGAAATCACGTCACTGTCATTCATGCAATACTTTAATGCCAGTTTAACACAGGTAAAATGAGAATGCCTTGGAGCAACGGGGCTCTGGAGATGTAATGAAGACATCCTTAGACCTCCTCAAAGGCCAGTGAGGTTTACCAGGAAAAGGGAAAGGAACTCACTGGATGCTGTTACATGATATCTCTAGGGATTTGCAAAGGAATATGCTGTAGACTCCTAAATCAAAGTCTCTTTAAGCAAACTGTATCATGTCAGATTTCATAGGTTTTAATATAGATTTACTTTATGAAAGGTTCCATAAAGAATGTGTGTTATTTAATATTAACAACTTACAATTTGTAGTAAAGACAACACCATGAAAATTAGACAGAACACAATTCTGTAATGTACAGAATTCCAACATTTTAAATTCCAGATTCTTCACGATACCAAGTATTCTTTTGGAAAAAGTGCTCATTTTCAAATCAAAAGTTACATCTAATTCCGTATCACAACTTTGAAAGTCCAGCTTATGGTGAGGTGAGATAAATATTTAATACCAAAAAGATAATACCTGTCTTCATTCCATTTCAGGTATGAAACAAGCTTAAAACTTATGAAACTAAGAATAATAAGAACAGTGTATATACATTTGCTTTTAAGTCATCTACAGTATATAGATATAATAAGTAAATTAAAATAAATGAAATACTGTACCTCCAATGACTCCAACGCACATATACAAATGCATAATGGTACTGCCAAAACATGCAGTTACCATAGCAATTGCACACATAACTCCACCAGTGATGACAACAGGCCTGCTGCCATAGCGGTTCACCAGGATACTGCTGACAGGACCTGAAGAAAGGGGATTCAATATTGTTACTACCACAGCATAATCCAGGGCATACTCATATATAAAGAACAGAAAGTTGCAACGGCGTAAACTGTACAGTTCATCCAATAATATTAATAAAATACTGTATCTGCATAAATCATCAAGTTCAGTCCTTCACATGTCAAAACAGAGATCATACAAAAGTAAACTTAAAACTTTTAATTGTGATGATAATATTATCCTACTGGTCCTTTTAAAGACACAATTAAATACTTAAAGCTTAAAACATTTTCAGTTTGTTTAGCACATATTAACATATTTTTAATGCAGTATGTCTATATTAGACAAAATAAAACTTTTCGATCCCCAAATCCTGAAAAATTGTTTTATAAACATACGATTTAGTAAAGCGCGATTCACCCAAATTTCTTCTCAATCTGAAGATCCCTAAAGGTGAATGTTTTCAACTTTGTGTTTTCTAAAGTGAGATAATCTAATCATCTTAAAAGTGCAAGGGGATGCTTTAGTTTCACGTAAACTTAGTTGATCACATTTGAATGAACACCTCTTAAATAAACATAATAATTATTCCTAGCATTGACAATAATTCCATGCTTGTTATCCACCAATGAAGTGCAGAGCTCACCTAGGTGATGTGTGGAAGTCACTACAGGCCAACAGTGCCAGTACATTACACAGTAGGAGAGAAGGGGGGAACTTAAGTAAGACAACTGCAATTTCACAGAGTGGAATTTAGCAAGGATACAGGGATGAACACTCTTAAACTTATGAACAATGCCATGTGAGCGCCACCTACTGGGCCACCAGTATGGGCCACCAATTTGGATTGCTCCCAAGTTTCCCCGTCCCAGTATTGGCAAAGCCAAGCCTTGCTTAGCATCTGACAAGATCAAGCTCCAATATGGTATTTACTTATTACAAAGAAACATTTCTCTTCTGCTAAGCAGTGGTCAAGCTTAGTTTGTCTGAAATATCAAATAAGCATGTGTGTGTGTTTCAATTGACATTTGTCTACAGCTTTAAAAAATGTATGTACCAAATACTCTTGCATTTTTTAGTTAAGTTCATACTATTTTACCATCTTCACAAACATAAACTTGTTCAATTAAAAATTGCAAAAATAAATCACAAGTTACTACTGTACATGACATGAAATGAACTGAAATAAATATGGAAACAAACACTTCTGATAATTTAAAATCCCAACCCAAGGAAAGAAGGACAAGATACTAGAACACACCTGAAGAAGGCTCCACGGCCAAAATGTTGTGTTCTCTTTCTTCTTTCTTTCAGCATGGAATATACCTATTACTTGTTCCCTTACTAGAATCTATTCTACTTAAAGGTATTAATAGAAATACAAAGACTGGGTTAAGATCTCTGAGATTACTAGAATACGTTATTTAGGACTATCATCTTAAAAAGCACTCCATCTGTTCCAATGCTGACAGAAGTCATTAGCTGTAAAATCTCTTTCCAATAGTCTAGCAAGATTGAGGAAATCCTAGGAACAAGATTTTTCTTCATTTTTTGTTGTGGTATTCTTTTATTTTGGGCTTTAAAATGGGTGACCTTGGATTGTTCTAAGAACATTAACTCAAAGGTTCTTTTATGGATTAAAATGGAATGTATTCTCCAAATTAAATGTGAAAGATAAATGAAGACTAAGCAGTCTCCCCCATTTGAAAATGAAAACTGTGTTGAAGCTTTTGAATTTTTGATTTAGGTTATCCTTGCAATATCATAAAAGAAACCACAAATCCACCATAGTCATCTGCAGTAAGCAGCCAGTTAACCAATGTAGTTTTGATTGATACAATACTTAAAAAAAAACAACTTATTGCATGACAATGGGAATCCTTTCCAGAAGCAAAGAATAAACCTTGATGTGATTCTTAGAAAACTACTCAAGTGTTTGATAAGTAAGGAATCTGTGATTCTGAATTCCAAAGAGACAGCCTTCCTGACTTGAGAAACATCCAGCTGAAATGGGGGAAAAACATAAAATGACAACAGGATATAAAAACACAATGCAGTTGCAATGTGAAAGATCACAGCCTTAAATAAGGTGGATCCAGGGATCTAAACATATTAAAATCCACAATCGTGATATTACTCAGTACAGGAGCCTACATTCCAGAGATTATTACAGGGCTTCAATACAAAAACAAAAAAACTCATTAGCAGTCTTCCCAGACTGCTACAAAACCTCACCACCAACTCACACTGTGAGTAGGGCCAGATTAAAGACCTTGTAGACCCTTGGCACTTTTGTTTCATTAGTTCTTTGAGACATTTTAAAGGGTATATAATTTTTTATGGATAGATGGGTGATTAAAATTATCTTAAATATGTTTTCAGATAACCTATCCTTGCTATATGCATATATTCCAGAAGTGATCTTTGATACAGTTTTGATCATACAAATAATAAAAATCATTGTCAAACAATTTGTTCATAGGTCATTACGTTTTCGTTTTCATAGGCCCTATGGACAGAGATTATTATGCCTATTGAATAATATGACCCTAACCTTGAGAGTCCATTTATTTCCCAAACATATCCCATTTAAAAATGTGTAACTATCCACCACCAATAATCTAATGAACTAATTGCTGCCAAGTGTGTCTATTTACACATGATAGTGGCCACTAGTGGAAGTTTTGGCTGCTATTACAGTTCCTTCCAAGACAGGTCTGCCATTTAGTGATTACAACCAGTTAATGAGTGCTAATTACCCACTGCATGTAGATAATACAAATCACATTATAAAGTCCCAAAATACAGTAGCTTGAATTTATCAGTTTTAATTAGGCACTTGAAGAGATTAAGTTCTCTATACTCTTTTCCCGTTCTCTCTTTAGCTAGCACCCATGCAGGGAGATGTCAGAAGCAGAGAAAGTTGCTCGTTCTCATCCTAACAGCACAATGAACAAGTCAAGTACACATTTCCTAGAGTCCCAAAGTCATTTAAAATAGCCCAAGTCAAAAGTGTATGTGAGAGCATGAGAAAACTGTGACAAAAATAGGCCTTTCAGGGAATCGGAGTTCATCAACATGCCAAACTCAGTTTGGAGAGAGGCTAGTGTCTTTTTTACTGCCTCCACAGCATTGTAATCTATTGTATTCATTGAGTTTCTCTTTAAAAAATGCTTTCAAGCAGATAACTAAGACAAATATATATTTTCTACTTTAGGCAGTCAATGTGCAAATTATTTAGGATGCAAAACAACATATGGGTAACACATTACTAGGGGTAGCAAATGTCATTTATGAATGCTATATAAATACAATATAGTAAATTAATGTGATAATAACCGAGCTCTATTCTCGATTAATTGCATGCTAGTAAGAAAATCCTAATCCTAATCATAGCCTGACCTACTCCCCTAATAATGATGTATTACTGTTTATAACATCATTAACAACAGATTAATAGATTGTTTTTACACATTTTTAAAACATACCTGTACAAAGGTATGACCAAAACATACAAGGATATGGCCTGGCATGCTCAAAACATCTACTGGTACAGTAAGATGTGTGTAACAGGGCATCTTTCTTTGTGAGGGGAGTTTGGTCTGTTGACATCAGTACAGGACCAGATATGGGTTAATTTGAAGAGTACAACATTCAAAAAGAGACAGGGGTTAATGTGAGTACATGGGTTAAGACTGAGTTGTATCCATTATGGTTAGTAAAGAGAAGACCGGAGGAGCTGGAACAATGGTTACCTCTGAAGGCAAGGAGCTCCATCTACTTTAGCTCTCTGGTTAGTAGGGAGGTGTAGCTCTTGGTTGGAAGGTGGTTAAGCAGTCACCAGTTTGGGCAGAAGGTTTCTTGTGAGTAAATGAGAGCATGCAGAGAGAGTATCAGCACATTTAGCTCCTGTTGTGTAGGAGGTGCAAGGAAAGGTTATGGTTATAGTGTACCTGGCCACACAGGATCGGCTGAGCAGGTTGTCACTGCTACTAGTAGTGACTGTCTGGTTAGAAATCCCAGAGGGAAATCCCAAAAGGGGTTGCTCAATGGTTACATATCCCAGAGGGATTTCAGACCACATGGCTCACTAAGGAAGTGAGAGTGCTCCTTTAGGTCTTAGTTCTTCTATAATTAAAAGAGGCAGCTGTGGGGGTTTCCTTGAGCCTAAGTTCGCTGGCCGGGTGTGGGAGAGACCAGCGGTGGATGAGGCCATGGGTCAGGTGTTGGGGAGCCCACCAATGGGTGAGCCCTGGGGCTGGGTTTGGGGACCTTTGCAGTGGGGGAGCCCTTGGATAGAATGCAGGTGATAAGACAGAGCATTCCTTGGATCTTTTAGCTGTGGAAAGGAGCCCTCATCTCAGCAAGTTGCTGAAAGTTTCCCTGAGAGGGGAAACATAGCTGTCAGTAAAGAGAAAAAATCCAGGTTATGTTTAAGAAAGAACTAATAGGTTATTTATTTGGTATGCCTTATATAGTCACAGTCTAAAGGATATGGTTATAGATCTGATTATGTGATTAGACAGTTCCAGATGTAGGTAATAGTTGATGGTTATCGGTGTATGAATACTTAACAGTTCTAATACATGGGTTAAGTCTTGGTCTCTGTACTCTGACTAACGAATACATGGTTTATAGTTTATGGTAAAAGGATTAAGAGCATTTAATATGGTTTTAATTAATTCCTTTAGGGCCCTGGAAGGCTTGCGATGTGACTGAAAGCTGGGTGTTCAACCTTGGACTGAGCATACTCTGGGTTGTGTTTAGGAGACTTTGGGTGAGTCTGTATGGTTTTAAAATGAGGTCTATCAGTGCCTTGCTTTAGATATTCTACATTTGATTTTTTTGTTCTCTGAAAAAACATGACTTTCAATACACATTCTTTTCATAATGGGCTTTCTTCAGATAATGAATAAAGGTAATGTGTTGGATTGCTTCTTTAGCCAGTAATATCTTTACGGTTACAGGCTTAGTCTTAATGACAAGGCTCAAACACTGAAACAGAGAACATGAGAAGACT